TGTCCCTTTACCCTGAACATAGGGCAAATAAGCGATGTTATGCTTGTGGCAAAGAAGGACATTTTTGGTCCCAATGTGAAACTCATAAAAATAAAATTTTCAGTCAGCCTAAAAAAGTATTCTGCCTTCAGCCATCAACAGTTGAGGCCTCTAATGGCTGCACTGTTGCTAAGGAAATGAACTTGGCAGAGAGCCCAGAGCTTCCCTAGGGCAGAGTGACCCAGTGTTATTTAATTCATTGTGACCAAGACTTACAGGAAAGCTCTGGAGAAATGATTTTAATCAATGGAAAAAAGTATATAGGCATTTGATACATATTCTCAAGTAACTATCTGTCACCCAGACATAATCCCTAAAAAGAAAAAAATTGGAGCAGGAGAGGATTAGTCTTAAAGGCATAAGTTCTGATTTGGTAATATTGCCAACAGCTAGAGTAGCACTGGATTACCATGGGTGGTCTAGAATATGGAAAGTAGCTGTGTCAGATCAAATCCCAGCTCCTTGTCTGATTGGTTTGGATCTCTCAAAACATGTGCAGAGTGTTTGCATGGTAACCCGCTTTCAGGGAAGTCAAATTGTAGCCGCTGAGGAAAGCATTGGAATCCCAACCACTGAAACTCTTTGAAAAATCCAGTTTAGGGGAACAACCTGAAATAAGGGAGACTGCTGATTTGGTGCTGATGAAAAATTCTGATAATTCCTCCTTTATTAAGGAACAAAAAGAAGACAGCACCTTATATAGTTGCTATGAAAAAGTTAAAGAGAATCCCATTCCACTGTCCCCTGAACATCCAGAGAGGTATTGTGTAGACCAAGACCTATTATATAGGGAGGTTTTAATGGCACCTTCTAGGGGTGGAAAAGAGCCCCACAAATAGCTAATTGTCCCTGTTAAATACTGAGAAAAGATTATGGAAAAAAGCACACAAAGATTTATTTGGAGCTCACATGGGGATCTCTTGCACTAAGCAAAGGGTTGCACAGAATTTTTGTTGGCCAGTGATGTTGCAGCAAATTAAGCAATATTGTCAAACCTGTGATACTTGCCAGAAGCGAGGTACTGGAAATGACAAAACTAGAGCTAAACTATGCCTATTACCTGTTATCTTGACCCCTTTCCAACTTTTAGGTCTAGACCTGGTGGGACCCCGACCCAGGGTGACTAGACGAGGAAATAAGTATATCTTATCCATTATTGATTTTGCCACCAGATACGCAGAAGCGGTCTCCCTAAGAAACATAGAGACGGAAACTGTGGCAGATGCGTTAATTAATGGAAGCATCTGGTTCTGTGTGGACTATTGAAAATGAAATCACATTATCAATGCCTCACCTGAACGGCCTTATTGATCCAATAGGGAAATGTCCATATATCTTTAGTTTGTATTTGACTAAAGTGTTTTGGCAAATGCCCATGGGTCATAAGGACCAAGAGAAAACAGTTTTTTGCAGTCCTTTAGGACTATATGAATTTTGAGTTGTGTGTCTGGGGTTAAAAAATGCACCAGCCACGTTTCAAAGGCTGATAGATAAAACTCTGTGTGGCCTGAGAAAGGTCACTATGGCATACATGGATGACATCGGTATTTTTAGCCAGAACTGGGAGGAACATAAATCCCATCTAGAAGTCATGTTGCAAAAGTTACATGAAGCCAGTTTGACAGTGAAATGAGCTAAATTTGAAATTGGGAACTCTGAAATAAAGTACCTAGGGCATTTAGTCGGAGGAGAGATTATCAACCCCTAGATGCAAAGATATAAGCTATTGATACCTGGCCCACCCCAACTTCTAAAAAGAAAATCCAAGCATTCTTTGGGTTAGCCGGATATTATAGACATTTTGTCCCAAAGTTTAGTGAAATAGCTGCTGTTAACAGACTTAACCCGAAAGAAGCAAGCTAAAAACATTCAGTGGACATCATTCCTTCCCTACATTTGGGGAAGGAAATTCATCCTCTTCACTGACTTTGGTGTGGCTGTGAACTATAAAATCTAACAGCAGCAAACTTACAAGATGGGTGCTGATTTTGCAAGATTTTGATTTTGAAATCTGCAGTGTAAAAGGATCTCAGAATGTGGTTGTGGATGCTTTGTCTAGAAGGCCAAATGACTAGAGAAAATCTTTTTTTGTATTTATGTGAGTTCAATATTAACTGCTTCTCTTTGTACAGTATAATAGTTATGTGATATGCTTAAAGTGCAAAATTTGCTTGTTTGTTAACAAACTAATAAACTTAATAAACTAAGTACAGTGGTAGTAAAAATAATAGTAAATATGCTTAGTAATGTAAGAGGTTAATATTTGCATTCTTCCAGGAATCTTCATTTGTTTATGAGGGCAAACCCTTACTCTTCCAGGAATCTTCATTTGTTTATGAGGCAAACCATTACGTTTCCCTCCTAAAACAAACTAATTAAGGGGAGAAGGATGTAGCGTTCACCCTGCTCATGAATATTTATTATGAGATTTCCATGCACCAATAGGAGTTGGTGAGGGGTGGAGTTAAATGGAGTGAAGAAAAGGAGGGAGAGAGTGAGTGAGAGAAGGGGTTGAGAATGAAGAGAAAAGGTTGTTTTAGTGGAGACTTCATGATATTGACTTGACTATTATCACCTGTAACAATAAACAATTTCTACTTGGTTCTTAAATTATACTTTGCCCGGATGTCTGTCAATAATAGTGAATAATGTTGATGTAATCAACTGGTGGCAGCTGAATGACACGTAGCTTGTGCCTTTTCTTGGTGAAACAATCAAGGGACAGGCAGGAACATGACATACGGTTTGAATAATTCTCTTTCCTTCCCTGAGGTTACTCCTGCTGGCATTAAATCTGAACTCTCGGAAAGCATCTCTTTGATCTTTCATTTCCTCTGGCCATTCGTTTTTGTTCAATGCATGAATAATGTATCATCTTAATTTTTGAGCATTTATTATTTTTTCAGCCAACAATTCTTTGCAGAACCCCTGAGATTTGGAACTCATCTTTTGAAAAAAAGATTATTCAATATGTAGTTGGTCTAATGATTATTCTAAACTTTAGCTCCATTGACAGCAATGAAGTATACAAAGGAAAAGGGAAACTACATAAAAACAATGTCTTTTAAAAAATAAACCAGTAATTCAGGACCTACTGGTGTACTTTGCTATTTGGTGAGAACAGAATGGTGATTTCTTCCCCTCCTCCTTCTGTCTCTTCTTCCAGTCCATAACGGTGTCAAAGCCACTGATCCAGAACTTCCCCAGCCTTCTGCAGCTGGTTTTAAGATATCTGCCAGTCAACAGGAGAAAGAAACATTTGCCAGTTCTGGTGGAATCAGTGGAATTCAGTGGAAGGACCACTTAAGATACTAGTTATGTATTGTCTACTTAAATAAGCTATAATTTCAAAGGTTTCCTCTTTTTTGCCCAAAAATAAAGAAGCCCATAATACTTCACCCTTTCCTTATATGGAAGTTGCTCCATTTTGACTAAGCAATTAGTCATTAGATCTGCAGAGCTGGAAGGGACCCTGTAGGAACTGAACTCTCAGCTTCTGGCTCAAAAGCCAGATGCCTAAACCAATGAGCTAGCCTGCAATAAATGTCTACTTCGTTTGTGGACACTTCTTCATCAATGTTTTATTAAATATTTTCTTTGGATTTCCTCACACTGGAAAACTTCAGTCGTCCTCTGCAGATTATTTGAGAAGCTGGACTTCCCAAATTTTTAATTCCTGAACTGCGTGGAGAATTCTAGGTAGAAATATAATTCCAATTTTAATATTATTTAATATTGTTTTAATCTTGTTGAAAGAGGCTTGGCTGCTGTTCATTCTACTCCTCTCTCTTAACTCATACCTTCCTTTTATCCACTAACAATATGATAGATTAACTGCACTGAGAAGACAAAGCAGTAACTTTTCCTCCTACTTCCACACTCAGAAGAATTTTGCCTTACCGAAGAACATTCAACAAAATGGCGTTTTTGCCCTCGGTAAAAAGAATAATTTTGGGCAGCCATTTCTACTCATACCTCAATCACAATGCAAAGTATTTCTTTGACTATGTAAATATGTAGTCACCAACTAACACGAGTTTTGTCTTGCATAAGCAAGACAAAACTCTCATATGCAGTGAACATTGATAAAAACTATACATTTGAGCTGGCGTCACAGTCTCAACCACTTTAAGCTATATTTGGATTGTATGAGGGGAAACCAGTAAAATCCAAGTGTTTCTACTGTTTTTATTTGACAACATGGGGTTGACATATTGGACATGACTTGCTTTTGTTTTAAGTTGTGGGGCCAAAAAGAAGAAGGCAAAGAGGGAAAGGTGTGGATGGAAAAGGAACAGGATTTGTCAGATTGATAATGAAAGGGCATCCCTTGTGTACTGTGAGCCCACAAAATTCTGGAGCCAGTCCTATGGTACATCACCATGGCTTCTTATGGTAGACACCATGATGAACCCAGATTCTGGGAAAGCTCTCAGACCTAAACTACTATCGGAGCAGATTTACGATTCTAAAACATGTACAAATGTAGAAAGTCACAAAATTCCAAGATTTTCAAGTTTGTGGAAGTCCTGAGTTTTATGTACCTTTGTCCAAAACCCAAAGATTCCCAGAGTTCCATGAGGTACAAACAGAAATCCACTGTAGAGTAGAGACTTCCATAAACATGTCAACGTCTGCAAAAGGGTTAACCATGGGATTGGGTCTATTGACCACCAGATATCACATTGCATGGGAATCGTTTGGAAGACATCTGCAATTGTAAAACCACTTCTCTGGCAAAGTCCATACTGTGGGTCTTCTAATCTTCATTTCAAGGAAATTCTTGGTCGCTACAGTTTTCTATTTCGATTAAGAAAAACAACTCAGTAGGCAAATGAATGATACAGACAGTCACGATGACAGTCTTGCATTCTGTAGTCACAGTAACCATACAAATTGCCCTCGGTGTAAGTAAGGATATGATTGCAATATTAGTTTAACCATTAAAAAAATGTGGTTCCTCAGTTTTTGTTTTTGTTTTAATTATAAAGGAAAAGGAAACACAAAAGCACTGGTAAATAATGAGTATGGAAAATGTTAAATAAAGCAGGTAATACAAATGATGTGGTCAAAACAATAAATTTCCAGAGCACTTGAGTGGTGATTATATCCTTTCAATGACAATTTCATCATTAATCAGCTTTACTCGTTGTCTCTTCCTTTTCCTGCGGATTTTCATCATACCCCTTTTTTTGGGAAAGAAACCTGGATGGAACAAAAGAGAATCAGAATGTTTTGTTTTTTCAAAAACATGGTTTTTCCAAACTGTGAGGTTCTTATTTTTGGTTGGCCCAAGATGCCCCCCAGAAGAAGGAAATGATAAACCGTTTCCTCTTATTTTTGGTTGGCCCAAGATGCCCCCAGAAGAAGGAAATGATACACTGTTTCCGAGTACTCTTTACCTAGAAAACCCTGAAAAAGGTCACTGTAAGTCAAAACTGACGTTATGGCCCATAAGTATTGTTTATTATGTTTGATGGGCTGAGGATATTTTGTCTTTATGCTATTCGTAAGAACAGTAAACCGAATATGTTTATGTGTTTGCTAAGAGCTGCCAAGTGGCATCTGACCTATGGGGATCCTAATAGGGTTTTCAAGATATGTGAGAGATATAGGGAGTGGTTTTACCATTGCTACCCTGTGGTAAATTTCCATGGACAAGTGGGGATTTGAACCCACATCACCTGAGCCTGAGTCAACACTTTATCCCTTATATCACATTGACACTCAAACATAATTTATAAATGAACGAGTGAATAAATGAATATTAATGGAAATAAATAAATAAATGTAAAAGAGAGGGTATAAAGGATTCATGATTTAGTTCTTTAAAAAAATTGAGCATGGAATGAGAACACTACTGGGTTGGCTATCCTGCTGGAAAAAGTAACAGGATGGTGTGGTCAAGAAATCCTAATCAAAAGCTTGGGTTTGAACGAGGCACAACAAATTATGAGCTTCCGATAACTCCTTGACTTAAGAGCAGTAAAGTGTGAACTAGTGCAATTAGAAGAGGTTCCCGCCAACCTAGCGGTTCGAAAGCATGCAAATGCAAGTAGATAAATAGGGACCACCTCAGTGGGAAGGTAACAGCGTTCTGTGTCTAAGTCGCACTGGCCATGTGACCACAGAAGATTGTCTTCGGACAAACGCTGGCTCTACGGCTTGGAAACGGGGATGAGCACCGCCCCCTAGAGTCGGACACGACTGGACAAAAATTGTCAGGGGGAACCTTTACCTTTGCCTTTACCTAGCCTGCATGTGCAATCAAAGATAAAGGTATGGTTACACAGCAAAACATAATTAAACAGGTTGCCCGCCAACATTCGAGGTGATGTTCTCTCATGAGGCTACCAATATTCTTTCCCATGAAGGGTGTTTATGGCACCTGTTGCTTAAAACAGCCATCTTTTCTCGTGTAGACAAGTGACAGAGATCACAGCTTTCTGGAATCTAATAAAAAATAGTGGTGCTTCATAGAGTCACCCAGTTCAGGATATAACATGCTGAGTTGCTCAAAGGGTGTCTTTTTGTAAACTTTCCAAACAAAATGAAAACAACCAGATGGGTGCCTCATATTTGTCTGGTACTTCACATCTGATGAATGGGGATTCTTGAATTTGTGTGGAATTACATTTTTGCCATGTTTGCATCTTTGCTTTCTAGACTTGTTGAATTCTTGCCTCACATTCCAATACTGTATGTTTTATAATAAAGAAATGAATTGAAGCCTGGTATCAGAATGAGCCCCCTAGTGCAGTGGTTATACTGCAGTACTGCAACCACAACTCTGCTCATAACCTGGGTTCAATCCCAGGTAGCCGGCTCAAGGTTCACTCAGCCTTCCATCCTTCCTAGGTCCGTAAACTGACTACCCGGCTTGCTGGGGTGTGGTAATGTGTAGCTTGCATAATTAAATTGTAAACCAACCAGAGAGTGCTTTAAGCACTATGGGACAGTATATAAACTGCATGCTTTGCTTTAATGTTTTATTTTAATGTTTTATTTTAATGTTTTATACCTAGGTATAAACCTATACCTAGGTACGTGCACCAGTAAAGGCTCTCAGGGTGGCCTTTAGAAGAGGTGACCTGAGTATGTTCAATTAATAGCCCAGTCTAGAGCTGACAAGATACAGATGACATATCTAGAGTGAACCCTCATCCTAATATGTAAAACATTGTTGCACAAGCTACAGGCTAGTTTGCTGCAGCTGTAGAAATCTAATGAATGGGTCAGAGAGAGCCTCCCTCATCCCATATTTTAGAATGAGGCATCTTCCCCAGCTCCGTCTCTGAGCCACCCCGGATGCAACCATAATTCCAGCAAGGCAGAGCTCTCCGTCCTTCCTAGCTCTACTTTGCTTATGGCTCCGCACGCCGGGTGATTGTCAAACTGCACGGCCAAAGTGAACATGCTGGTGGTGAGCTTGACCTGGGGACCAGGCTGAGAATTCGGTGTGACTTATCCATTGAGCATAACCTTTCTCCAAGCTGGATAGAAAATAATCACCCTCATGTCTCACATTTTTCATCGTGACCATACCTTTCTTACACATCTGCAGGCACGACTTTCTTGTCGTAAAGTTGTTTTCGTTCCCACCACATCCGCTGTAGCTGAAGGGGCGGCACTTTCCAGTTGAGTAGTTGTAGAAGAACCTTTTTGCTTGGGCTCTGCAAAGACCTCTGTCCATGTGCATCATGCAGAGGGAAGGCAGAAGGAGAGGCTCTAGACACAGGGAGGAACCACGGTGAGAAACAACTGCATTTTTAAGGCTGCTTTTTAGTGTTTTTCCTGCTACAAATACACACTTCTTTGAGTGTTGCAAAGCAATTCTCTGCCATTCAAATGCACTTGTATTTATATTTTGAGGGAATATATACATTTTTAGTTGTTAAAGCGGTTATTCTAAAAATAAGAAAAAACACAAATCTTTCTAAAAGACATAGAATTATGCATTTTTGACGTTTAGTCCAGCTGTGTCTGACTCTAGGGCGCGGTGCTCATCCCCATCTCCAAGCTTTAGAGCCAGTGTTTGTCCGTAGACAGTTTCCGTGGTCACGTGGCCAGCACGACTAGACACGGAACGCCATTACCTTCCCACCGAGGTGGTACCTATTTATCTACTCGCATTTATATGCTTTCGAACTGCTACGTTGGCAGGAGCTGGGACAAGAGACGGGAGCTCACTCCGTCGCGTGGATTCAATCTTACGAATGCTGGTTTTCTGACCTTGCAGCACAGAGGCTTCTGCAGTTTAACCTGCAGCACCACCACATCCCTAGAATTATGCATAAACCATGCCAAAAGGGCATAGGCAACAACATGACAAATTCACCCACCTCAGTAATAATCAAGATAATCATATGGCTAATTTCTATTTCGAGACCAGAATCCTAACAGTTAGTTATACCACTGTTGAGTCCAATGGCATAAACTGTAGACATGCATTGTTGCTGGCTAGCGTTGCTGGTAGTTCACTTGCCTTTAAAATTGCATGTTGGTTGTTGTACAGTGAGGGAAACAAATGACATTTTGTTAACAAGCGCCAATTCACCCCTCAATTGCACTTATGCCAGTGTAAGTAACCAATAGGATTCTGGCAAATATCATCGAACCCAAGACTGCTGTAGATCCTTTTTTAAAAATACACTTTTTAGAAATGTTAAAATAGAAATATCCCAAGGCCTACATCCAACTTGAAAATCACCATGATCATGTTTGAACTTTCAGAGCCTTCCTTTTACAGATTATCAAGAGCCATCTACTTATGCCCCAGTCTATATACCATCTAGAATAGGGTTTTAGGTGCAAGGAAGGTGAAGGGACAGGCAGGGCTACAGGAGGAGGAAAATTGTTCTGTTTGCCTTTGAAGGAGTAGCTTCCACATGAATAATATCAACACTGGAATTGATACAAATATATTAAAAATAGCAAAAACTGCAGAGTAAATTCTGATAAAAATGAACTAACGTGACCAAAGTGTGGCTAGTGTTTACATTAGTAAATATATTGGATCATATTAAATCTGGTTCATTATGTAGAAATCAGTGCTGGATACAAAAGCATTCCACCCTCCAAGAAATATAGCAATAGTGCTTAAAAATTGTCCATTATATCAAGCATAATCAAGGACCAGCTCAAGACACTTTGCTGCTTAAGAAATTCGATATATGTGGTAAGTCTGAGCACACAAAGTATTGGTTGAAAACAAACCTTTGGTTTTTTTCTCAGCTCTGTTTTTGTTTTGTTTTGGTTTGTTTTGTGCATGTTTTGTTGTGTGTGTATGTGTTTCCAAAGTTGTGGTTGATGCTCTCTCTCCAAAATCAAGGCAATTCAGGCCACAAATCAACTGACCCCTTTGATCACTTGATCACTATGACATATCACTTCTTGAAGCTTGATTTCCATCACAACTATCATTATAGTCCCATAGAAAACTAATTCTATTATAGCCACCCCTTTGTCTATATATGAGTGGTGTGCAAAACTTGAAGTCAAGCACAGGCTTTGCCAGCGGCAGCATCTACAAACAGCAGACTGATAGCACAGTCCTCTGCATAGTCACACCCAGTCACTATAGCCCACTTGAGTGTGCTTTTGGACTCAGCCCTGTCTTTAGAACACCAATTATTGGCTGTGTCCAGTTCAGCCGTTAACCAATTTAGACTGATCGCCCAGATGCACCCCTGCCTAGATGCTGCATCCCTGATAACATTGGTGCATGGGCTGATGATTTCTAAGATTGACTGCTGTAACACTATATCGACCTGCCATTGAGGCTTATCCAGAGATTACAATGGGTGCGAAATGCAGCAGTCAGACTGGTGTCAAGTGTGAACAAATTGGATCACATCTCTCAGTCTTGGTTTTGCCTGCATTGGCTTCCTGTTGTGTTCTGGGCCTGGTTCCAGATTTTTGTGCTAGTCTATAAATCCCTCAGTGGTTTGGGGTCCCATTACGTTCCAGATTTTTGTGCTAGTCTATAAATCTCTCAGTGGTTTGGGGTCCCATTATTTGTCAGAGCATCAGCCCACATCACTCATTATTCATAGGCTTCACTTCTTCAAGTTACTACACCAAGAAAGTCAAAGAAGATAGTCAACAGAAAACACACCTTCTTGGTTGTGGCCCCTTCCCCTTGGAATAGGCTCCCAATGGAAGTACATCAGGTTGCCCTCTCTACCATCTTTTAAGAGGATGCTGAAAATGGTCCTCTTCAAGAGGCATTCAGGAACATCCTCCCTTAGGCCAACAGTTCCTTGTTTCTGCCATCTCTTGCGGTTTTTAATACATTGTATATGTCTCACTTACGTATGTCCAGTGTTGGTGTGGTTGGGTTTATGATTTGTGTTGTTTGCTTATTTCCCTTTTTTGGTTTGTTGTAAATCACTTAGAGTAGGGATTTGCACTAAGTCAGCGGCAAATAAATAAATAAATAAATAAATAGGTTATTGGATTGCGACCTGAATGGTGTCTACAGCTGCAATGCCAAAAATGACACAACACTCTCCAAACTTGCACGTAGCCAAACTTTATTGAGGAGATCTTGTTGGTTGCTCCCACACACTTCCCATGTTTTCTAGCCAGTATGCACAATCCAGAAACTGCCTGCCAGTCACCAGATGCACATATGGGTAGAAATGCAGATTGCCAGAAGCAAAATGTGATGAAAATGATCAGTCTTTTTCCAGCTGTTGCCTTCTCCCTCCCATACAACTGTGAATTGTAAAAAAAAAGTTAAAAATGACATGCCTCAGTCTTTGACAGAGTAAAGATCTATGGAGAAATATTTGTAGTGCATCCTTAAAGCACTGCTCTCAGATTAGATATAAATCAAGATCTAAGATAAGGAAGTCATCACAGTATATACTTAATTCCTATCAAAATATGCATGTCCATTACTTAGCTTTCTACTAATTTGAGGGCGTCAGTCACAGCCTGAAAAATCATCGCCACAAAATAATCCTGATGCAATGATACGTATGATTGCATATAAAAACAAACCAATCCAACATCAACTGTCTGGTATTTTAATGAGTCTCCCAAATGCTTCCCCATGTTGCCAATACACCACACAGGATTGCAACACAACCACCAACAAAGATCTTGGCTCCAAGTTTAAGAAAGACAAAAAAAATATTCCATGTTGGCAGTGCAGTGCAGAGGAAAATCCTACGGAACTGAAATTTACAGCAAACTGCGGCATTCACAACACTTTGAATAAATAAACAAATGCAAAGCAGAAAACTTTGAAATTCTATTGTTTAGCAGAATAAGCTATGCTAGAGCAGGCCCATTGAATCAGTGGGGCTTTGGTGAGTCAAGTCCTCCATAAATTCCACTGATTCACATGGGCCTACTCAAGTTATGAATTACTTTGGTGAAATTTACAGCAAACTGCGGCATTCACAACACTTTGAATAAATAAACAAATGCAAAGCAGAAAACTTTGAAATTCTATTGTTTAGCAGAATAAGCTATGCTAGAGCAGGCCCATTGAATCAGTGGGGCTTTGGTGAGTCAAGTCCTCCATAAATTCCACTGATTCACATGGGCCTACTCAAGTTATGAATTACTTTGGTATAGTAAGTCACAATTAGAATAGGCCCATTTGAATCCATGAAACTTACTGAGGAGTCGACTCACCAAATCTCCACTGATTCAATAGGTCTACTTTAGTGCAACTTACGAGTCTTTTGACTCCCACAGATGCAAAATTTGCTTGCTGTTTTTTTAAAGGATTCATAGTTTCTTAACTATTAGCGAGTTCTTCCTCTGGCAGATATTGGGCTGCACTGATGGACCATTAGTTAAGCTGTTATCTCCTTTTCTACCAATTTCTTTCCATTCTCCTCTACAAATCTTTTTCATAATACTAACTACTTTTGTATTAACTTCTGCTTTCTGATGGTTCTTCTCTGGAAATAAGACAGGCTAATCAGAACTTCAGAAAGAGATTCAGATAAGAAATAGTACAGTGGTATTCCTAATCCTTTTGAAACAATGCATACCTTGTTCGACAAGTGGGGTGCTTTCATTCACTCTGCTAAACAGCACGACATCATCCTCTGTTTTCAGTCCATTGGATAAAGGCACTGAAGGAACAGAAGCAGAGATAAGAGGTTTTTAAAACAATGTGCACAGAAAACATCTTATTGGCACATAATTAATATTATGGCAGGGGGGAAAATGGAAAAAGGCTGCATGGTCCCCCAAAACAATAAAAATGCAAGAGCAGGTGATACGTTTATCAGACCATTAAAAAAAATCAAACAACTAGCTTTTTATGATAAATCATCTTCTTCAGGCTGTGCACCCACATCTTGTGGATAGTTCAATATTATGACAGTGCATAATTTGAAACCATAGTTTAACATATTATATAGTATATATATATATATGGATGCAGTCTCTCTCTCTTTCCCCCCTTCTCTCTCTCTCTCATACACACACAGAGAGAGAGAGAGAAAGAGAGAGAGAGAGAGAGAGAGAGAAAAAAAAACACTAGCTGCATGCTATCAGTTCAAAAACTTCATCAAAAGATGTTGTGAAGGAGGGACAGTTATGACTTATGAGGGGTTGCCTGTCAGCATTTTCAGGTAGTAAGTTTGCCACCCAACATTATCCCCAACATGCTGGCTTTCTATGTGTTTGAGCATTTACAGGTAGTAAGTTTGCCACCCAACATTATCCCCAACATGCTGGCTTTCTATGTGTTTGCAACAAAGATTAGAAACTTTCTTTTTTTGAATACTGCTCCCAGAATTCTTTAGTCAGCAAGGCCAGTGGCCCTACTGGTTGGGAAGTGTGGGGAGTTCTCAACTGACCAAAGTTCTAACTTGGACTTCTGCAGACATGGAATTCTGCAAATCATTCAACTCCTCTCCTGAGATCTGAGGCCTGCTTATGAACTGGAACCCCAGAAGAAGGAAGGGAAATGTTAAATCCTCCTTTTTGAAACCCTGTGCAATGTTACTGGACAGTATGTTTTTTCATACATACCCTGTTGGACATGTGGAGTCCTACTATCTGCTGTGCTAAAGAGCAAGCTGTCGTTCTCTGCTTGAGACATGGCCACTAAAGGAGCTGGAAGGAAAGAGTCAGTGATAAAACAGGTTTTAAACACTGTGTGTAGTGGAGCTAGGAAGGAGTGACTGATGTATTTAATTTTTTAAAAAACCCTGTGGTTTCTGAGTGTGGGATATTGTGCTTCTGTACCCATGATTCAAAAAGCCAGGTAATGACCCAATACCATCCCTGTGTTGGCTGCAGAAAAAGGATGCCAAGTTTTGCCTAGCAAAGGGCAGCCTGAATGTTGATGAAACCCATGGCAGTCATCAAGATGGTCTAGAGGGTGTTCACTACCATTCACCAAGTGAGACCGCACAAGGGAAAATCCCAGAAGCTGATTCCTTTTTTTCATCAGTTAACCACTTCTCACCCAAACACAAAGCAATGGTCAGGGCTGTTTTTCAACACCGTGGATGGTAGTAATTTGCTGTTGCACAATATCTCCTCCTTCCTTGTCCTTTAAAAAGTCACCACTGTTCGGTTCATTTACAATACAATTACATTTTACAAAAGGTGTTCCCACTCTGTGCTCAGCAATATCCTTCATTGCTGCCATGTTGCTCATATAATTTCTTCAAGAAGGATTTAAATAGTACCTTCCACCTTTCTTCCATATTAAGGAAAAACATTGTCTTTACAGTACATTCATGCAAATTTGTGGGGTAGGGGGTCAGGACTTGGCTGGTATATTCTGAATGGCTTTTTGTTTTTGATAGAACACATTAAAAGGCGTGTGCGATCCTTTGCATTTCAGGAAATAGAGTTTCATCCCAGACTTCTCTCTGGGAAGAATAGGTGGATCTGTCAGTTTCACTTCCTCCCACATTTGGTTTTTTTTTAAATAAAAAAACCCCTCACTTTCCTACTGTTGAATTTATGAAGAAATTTCTGCATTCTGATGTTCTTCCCCAAAATGAACCAACTAACCAAACACAACCATACCATTGTATTCATTCAGTACAGCTATTTTCAATATGGAGAGAACCACCATGTGCCTTCCTGCCATGACACTATTAAAAATGAGTAGCCAGTCAGGAGAAAGAACAGCAGTTCTAATGTGGCAGAAGAAACATGGCTGAATACACAGGGATTGAAGGCCAAATTTTGAAGAGCTGGGAACTAAGTGCCTTTTTCCTCATCCTTTGGTGTGAATCCTTCACTTTTGCTTTCTCCCACATTCACATGTTTTCTCTCACTTTTGTGAAGAAATGTTTGAAATTTAACAAATGCACCAGACATAATTCTCCTTCCTCATTGCCATGTGACGCGGTAGCTTTCCATGTGCCTGGGATTCTCTAAGCGAGAGAAAGATTTGAATCCACAAACCCTCCTTTGAAATGAAAAACAGTATTGTCTCCTAGGAATCAGAATTCAAGGAAGAATGATGGGAATTTCCTTAATTCTTATTCCACAACAAGCTTTTTAAATGTGTACCTCGCTGCACAATTGGAGTACTGTTGCCAGCTTCGTTAAAGGGCGAATTGTCCTCCTCTGTTTGCAGTGCATTGATTAAAGGGTCTGGAAGAAAGAAAGAATGATATAGAGGCTCTGTATTGGGAAGAGAACACGATGACTGCCACATACTTAGTACAACATCAATACATTATTTTAATCTTTCCTCTTACTGTGGGTTATATCCAAGGTTCGAAAAGCAGAAAAATCTGAAGCATTCATGGTATTCTGCTAGAGGTCACACAAATTCTGTAACAAGAGCCACAACTAAGAGAAGCAACACCTGAGCAAGTGGGTATATATGGTGAGCAAGGCCTTGCCATTAGTTTTGCAATGCCTTGTCTAAGTTTAAATTAAGCTTTAAGTTTTACTTCGTTATCAATGTTAGTTTGTGATGTGAGGTTTGATGGGTTAATTTTCCTTCATTTTAAGACTGTTTGGCATCTATTTATGTGGCATATGAATATCTCAAACAAACCAGCAAGCAAGCCAGCCAGCCAGCCAGCAAACATACAAATAAGCAAGCAAACAAATAAGCAAGCAAGCAAACAAACAAACAAACAAACGGTCTTACACCTTGTGCAAACAGAATCAAAGGATCGCATTTGAGACTAGAGAGGGGCACAAACCGCCAGTTTGGCGGTTCATCCTGGTTCATTTACCACTACAACAGGTGTTTGGTGGTTTGGCATCTCGTCCCCTTTGGCGGGCATCCACTCAGAGGCAGTACTGGGAGGAGGTGGGGGAAAGTAAGCAGGGATGCTGCCTCTGAGAGGGGTGGAGCACCAAATAGTTGAACACCCATTGCAGAGGTAAACAAGCTGGGGAAGAACCGCTAGTTCTGCCCATCTCTGTTTGAGATTTCCATGAGGATGAAAAAAGGTGTTTCATAAAAATAATGCATTTGGGTGGAATATTATTTAAACACAAGATATTTTTAGAATTCTATTTCACTTATATTTTACAAAAGCCATATTTATTCCCATCTCATATTCAGAAATGTTGTACTTTGCTGCTGCGTGATTCACACAGCTTTTCCAAAGATGATTTAATAATTAGCCTCCATCTTTGCTTCATTCCCAGGCTAAGGAATAAAAATGCTACAGTGTGTGCATATAGAATCTTTAGAGGAAAGGCGTGTGCGAGGCAGGCTCTGCCATTAGCCAGGATGTGGTGAACACCTTGGAGAGCAAATTCCCAGGGCAGGCAATTCCATTATGCCCTGGGCGGCCTTAACATTATGCATTTCCATGCTGCTGGAACCTCTGCAAATCAGAGGAATATCCAACTAAGCAACCCTTACTTTGAGATATGAAATAGTACAGCTCTCCTTATTGGCCATAGCAGCAGGGAAGTCCTCTAGATAAAAGAGATAATTGAATCTGTATCACCACCTCAAATGGAGCTTGAACTGTTTTGCAACCATTTTGGAATGCTATGCCTGTGGGCCCCTGGTGGTGGTGGTGGCTTCTCTCAGTCCAAGGATCAATGCTCGTCATTCCAGCATAAGTGTGGGGCAACAGCTTCTTGATCTATTCATCATGTTACAGGCACCAAGGCATTTAGTCCCAGAAGACGAGCCCACTTACACGTATCTTGGCAGGTATCCTGGCATTCCTTCAAAGACCGAAAGTTGTTTTGGTTTCCTAGGCAACCACCATACAGGAACTTTTCACACTTCAGTGACTCTCTGTTGTAGAAGTACCTGGTAATCAATCCACGACAGACTCCAGGGTCATTCTCCAGAAGGCAGAATTCAGGCTGTTCTGGGAATAAGATTTTGTTTCAAGAAAAAAACAAACAATTATGTCTGATTTTCCATGATTAGCTTATTGATATCTATTGACTGGATGATGAAATCACCACATCACCAAAAATTAAACACTTCTCAGTCTCATTAATTTCACTGGTACAAATCTAAGCAACTGTTCAATGTTCTAGTTTTAATAATGGAAGATTTTCATAGATTAGGGTTAATTTGAATTCAACCTTTGTTTCCTAATCCAGTTTTCAAACTATTCATTCTGTTGGAGAGCACTTTGGTGATACCGGAGGCACAACTAGTTGTAAGTAAATGACAAACAAGATCAGAAAAGCACAACAAATCACTAGGGAGGATGTAACTCCTTACTTGCCTCATCCTCCCTGGGAAAGATGAGGAACTGTAACATTCTCGTCCTCCTGAATGAGAGGATGCAGGGCATCCTTTGATACTGTCAGTAGAATTCTTGCATTGGTTAGAGCTGAGAAGGATGTTTTGCTCAAAATACCTGCCAATTTTTGTACAAAAGTGCCTCTTTTGTGCAAATTGCTCATAAGTAGGATGCTACCTGTTTTGAGGATTTGAAATACTAGATGAGTTGTTTGCCCCTTTGAAAAAAATCAGCTCATTGTTCTGCACTTTCTATCTCTGTGTGAGTAGCATGCTCACACAAATACTTTATTCAAAATGAAAAGGAGGTATAGACAGTTTATACAAATCACAGAGCACCTGTGGGGTGGGAAAGAGCTCTTTCATTCTTGGCTTGAGGTAAAGAATCTCCTGGGGCTTTAAAATTCCTCATTGAGGGGGTTTATCATGTTGAGATACGTAGCTTAAATCATCAACAAAAAGGAATTTAGCCAGTATTTTTCCCATCCCTAGTATGGAACAAACTTACTGTTAGTGGCATCAAAGTTTTACCTGTTGCTGCTGCCATTTTTACTCTCAATCAATCAATCAATCAATCAATCAATCAATCAATCAATCAATCAATCAATCAATCAATCAATCAATCAATCAATCAATCAATCAATCAATCAATCAATCAGCCAGCCAGCCAGCCAGCCAGCCTGCCTGCCTGCCTGCCTGCCTGCCTATCTACGTATCTATCTATCTATCTATCTACCACTGACTTAGTGCAAAGCCCTACTCTAAGTGATTTACAACAAACAAAAAAGGGAAATAATCAACACAAATCCTAAATCCAACCACACCAACACTGGACATACATAAATGAGACATATACAATGTAATAAAAACCGCAAGAGATGGCAGAAACAAAGAACTGTTGGCTTAAGGGCAGATGTTTCTGAATGCCTCTTGAAAGAGGAATATTTTCAGCATCCTCTTAAAAGATGGTAGAGAGGGCAACCTGATGTACTTCCATTGGGAGCCTATTCCAAGGGGAAGGGGCCACAACCAAGAAGGTATGATTTCTGGTGACTACCTTCTTTGCCTTTCTTGGTGTGGTAACCTGAAGAAGTGAAGCCTATGAATAACACGTGATATGGGCTGATGCTCTTAGGAAAAGATGCTCTGACAAATAACAGCGCCCTAAGCCACTGAGGGATTTATAGACTAGAACTAAAATCTGGAACCGGGCCCAGAACACAACAGGAAGCCAATGCAGGCAAACCAAGACCTAAGAGATGTGATCCAACCTGTTCACACTTGACACCAGTCTGAATGCTGCATTGTGCACCCATTGTAATCTCTGGATAAGCCTCAATGGCAGGCCCATATAATGTTACAGCAGTCAATCTTAGAAATCATCAGTGCATGCGCCAATGTTATCAGAGACGCAGCATCTAGGCAGGGGTGCAACTGGGCGATCAGTCTAAGTTAGTTAACAGCTGAACTGGACACAGCCAATAACTGCCATTCTAAAGACAGGGCGGAGTCCGAAAGCACACTCAAGTCATTTGTTTCCCTCATTGTACAACAACCAACATGCAATTTTAAAGGCAAGTGAACTAGCAGCAATGCTAGCCAGCGACAATGAATGTCTACAGCTTATGCCATTGCACTCAACAGTAGTATAACTAACTGTTAGGATTCTGGCCTCTAAATAGGAATTAGCCATATGATAATCTTGATTATTACTGAGGTGGACTCTTTCATTCTTGGCTTGAGGTAAAGAATATCCTGGGGCTTTAAAACTCCTCATTGAGGGGATTTAGCATGTTGAGATAGCTTAAACCACTGGTTCTTAACCTTGGGTTACTCAGGAGTTTTGGACTGCAACTCCCAGAAGCCTTCACCACCAGCTGTCCTGACTGGGGTTTCTGTGAGTTGCAGTTCAAAAGCATCCGAGTAACAAAGGTTAAGAACCACTGGCTTAAACCATCACCAAAAAGCAATTTAGCCAGTATTTTTTCCCATCCCTAGTATGGAACAAACTTACTGTTAGTGGCATCAAACTTTCACCGGTTGCTGCTGCCATTTTTAATCTCAATCAATGAATCAATCAATCATCACCTTTGATACAGTCAAAGACCAATATCCAAATACACAAGTAAAACAATCCACAGAATACTACACCATACTATACTATGGCTCGAATATTTTATGTCCTCACTCTGGAGTCCCACAATTAAGAAGGGAGAAAAGATTGCTATATAGCCATTCGAAATGTGGCTGCCATTGCCAACCAGGCAATAAAAATAGGTGGCAATTAAAAAAATAGGTGAGTGGGAAGTTTAATAAATTCTTTCACCCACACCCTATCCTTGAACCCTACTTTCAAGTCTTTCAGAAAATTATGAAATTAACTTTCTCCTCAGCTCTTGAGGTAAAACTATCAACCTCCTGGTGTTTGTAGCCATTTGAATCCACTAGAACTAGTAAAGGAATGAAATACTCATAAGGCTCTATAAGGAGATGGCACTGAAAAAGTTTATGTTTGTTTTCAGGTCTGCTTGGAAATATCAAAACTCTGTGGCACCTTCAGATTGTCATATGAGTTTCTTTATTTTTCCCCTGGGGGATTTTGTGCATTTTAATATCAAAATGATAAATGAACTGCTGCTGTTATATGCCAGGGGCCTGCTCTGCCTAAGGATGCCCACACTCCTCGGGCAAATCACCTTGCTTATTAAAAGTCAGTCGTTTTTTTTCCCTTTTACAGTTTGAAAAAGAAGCCCTTGGCAACACAGCGTTTCCAGTCCTCAGATCACTGTGATGTTGGAAGCCACGCTGATCTCCATGGATTTCATCCCAGTGGGCTCCTTTCCTAATTCAAGATGATTGCGAGCAAAGCCAAGAAGAAAAATATCCAAAAGCAAATTAATTGAGCTGGGACAATGAAAGTGGCATGGCGTGCCATGTGAGGATGGATGCTCCAAATACAAAGGTGAATAGTACTTATTCATCTTGAAAAAAAAACCATCACTGTCCATATGGTATTCATTTTGTACACAAGACAAACTTATAACAATTTTTGGGAAGACATTAAGCATTGTTGTTATGTGAGGCTTATTCACCAATAATTAAAAATGTTACAGTGTTTATACAGCAGATCAAATATCTGAGCATTCCTCTTTTAACCTAATGAAATGTAATCAGATGGAAATGAAATCAGAGGTAACCAGGTATGAAGTGGTCTCTGAGGTTCATAGTGATCAAAGCCATTTAGGGTGATGATTTTTAAAGAACAAGATTATTTATCCATATGAGCAAACCTCTCTTATCCCAGAGGCTCAATATTCCACTCTTTGTTGCTATAAATCTAGTAAACATTACATACCGTAGATGATAAATTAGAACAGCTGTACTTGGCAGCTGGGCTGCTGTTTATGTTGTGAAAAAGCTTTAGAACAGAAGGTTTGACCACCATGGGGGAAAAAGTCAGCATGTATGGAAAGTTTTCCTAGGAGATTTCTGTGGGATGTGTTGAGAAGACTCCTATTCAACCTATGGGCACTATATATAGATCTATACATAAATACGTTATTTTATTCAGTTGTCAAAGATAAATGAAAAATTTAGCCTAACATATCACTACATTTTTAACTAACCCGCAGATCATAAAGCCACTGTGTCTATGGATCCTGCTGATGGTCATTATTGAGGCCCACAATATAGACTAAGTCCAGCCCCACGAATTTACACAGTAACAGAAGAATCTGGGCACCCTGGAAGATGCATGGTCCCTGGAAAATAGCTACTGTGTCAACCTATCTTTTCCTAAGTTTTATTTGCTGGTGTGCATAAGACGCAAGATTGTTGGGGCAGGCTCTTCCTCAGGTACACTAGGTGTCAATGAGAGAGCGAGAGAGAGCCTATAGATGGGTGACGTTCTAACTTGGCATGGGACTTCAGCATTTTTTAGACTGCAACTCCAAAATTCACCAGAAATTTCTTCACCCAGAATTCTGGGAGTATAGTCAAACAAACAAATAAAGTCCCTAGATCTGTTTTCATTGCCCATATGTGAGCAATGAGTTGTGCTTGCCTCTGAAGAAGAAAGAAATGGCTGGATGTGGCAAGGTTTCATGGGAGCTGCAAGGAACTAAGGGACAGGTAGTCTCTCTGCCCTGCCTCATAATCTCTTATAAATTCCATGGAGCTTTGCAGGAATGTGCAACAAAATATTTTATTTTGTCCTTCAATAGAAAAAAGTCAAATGATTAGAAATTAATAATTAATCAATTAATTAGAACTATTTCTGTTATTAATTACATCAGTTTTCCTACCATTACATAACAGCTGAATACCATCTGAAAAACAATGTAAATCTCTTTCCTTTATACTGAAGAAAGGAAGTGAAAAATATCCTTCAATATGCTCTGATTATTATAATTGTTTTGGAAACATTTCAGTGAATTTGCTAGAGTAATTTATCTCAACTAAACTGTTCTTGGAAATGAGCTTGAAACACTGACAGGTGACAAAATATTTGGAAACAAATAAGGAAGTTACCTTTCTTGAATTTTGATCTTTTTTTCTTTTCAGGCAAATCTGTAGTTGAAACAAAATATATTTAGATTAGAAAAAATGGAAACGGTATGAAGTTGCACAGCAAAGAATGGCTACACCTTCCATTTCAAAACTATACCTGCCATTTATTTCAAAGATGATAAAGGTGGGGGATAAGAAGACAGGTTCTTGTCAAACATGTGGATCTCTCTCTTTTTCTTTCCTTTGCTTCATAACATTTTCGTGTAAGAGCCATTCAGATAAATGCCCACATGAACTGAAAGAGGAACAGAGCCATATCTAAGGCCCATGGCAGACTTCATGCCCCGGGCAGCTGCATATTTAGCACTGGTATAGGTGGGTAGGATTCCTTCATAGGCATGTAGCTTTCCTACTGACACCTCCTTCTTGTAACAAGTGCACAGCACTAGGAACAATGCCAATGGACCCATCGAGGCACAACTGTGAATGGAAGCCTCTTCCCTCCTCAGTGCATGCAAGTGTTCACCTGAATAGCCCAAGGCACATCTAGGGCAGTGTTAGTCAATTATTGAGTTGTGACTGAGTCTGTGGTTGGCAAAGTGCTCTTCGTCTGCCTGATCTGCTTTTTCACCATGTTGAGTGGGTGATGTAGTTTAAGAAATGCTTACTCATCAGGTTTGGGGCAAATTGACAAAGTCATACTGGTGCCCAGAAACAACCTGCTAGGAGATGGACCCAACAGAGAGAATGACAGAATACCATTAGTAGTCGCCTACAATTCCCAGCTACTGCCCTGGCCAGGAACTGCAACATGAAGTAATTAACAACTTGATAGTTCCATCCCTGTGTTAATGAATCCCTGTCTCTCTGTCTATTGTCTGCATCCTCACCAGGTAATGGGGATATGTATAAAAACATGCAGGCCATGTGTTTGAATTCCTACATTTGAGGAAGTGGAGTCTGATCCATAAAAGCTCATACTGAAATGAAACCATTCATCTTTAAAATGCTACCATATTTTTGCCTCCCCTCCTCACTTGCTTGCTCAGTTGTGAAGGGAATGAGGAAGTTCTCACAGTACAGTACAGCTCTTACAGTACAGATCCCAAAAAGATGCTCACAGAGACACTGACAGACTGAGTGACGCCTGGAGTTGGTGAAATATTTCCTCTTCCTCCACCGCCCTGCCATTCCATAAAAAAGTGAGGTGCTATCTGATCAGGAATCTTGCCCAGTTGTGAGGGAGACCATGAAGTTAGGACTCACAGATTCAAGTACAAAGACCTTTTGGTCAGAAGGGATCAGAGATGGGCACAAACCATCACTTTGGCAGTTCATGCTGATTTGTTTACCAGCTGAACAGGTGTTTGGCAGTTCCCAGCTCTGCCCACTCCAGCAGGTGCAGGCGCCCACTCAAAAACCAGATGCCCTGGTTTCCCTGCACCACTTCCTCCAGCACTGCCTCTAAGTGGGCGCCTCCTGAAGGAGGTGGAGCTGGAAGCCACCAAACACTGGTTCAGCAGGTAAATGAACCAGCATGAACTGCTGACCTGGCAGTTCGTGCCCATCTCTAGAAGGGATGATGACCTTGCCCAACCAAATCATTTGATATTTGAACTGGGTTCTAGAGCCCTCAAGAAGTCTATACAATTCCAGGAAAGTAGAAGCCTGGAGCATTATAAAGATTTCCCTATTCAGGTTTTATTTCCCTATTCAGTGTTTTATTTAGTGTGACACCAGATAATTGTTTTGTACCTTTTAAATTCAGGAAAGGATTTCAGAGATATTAAAATCAGGTGGCAGTAGAGGGGTGAATTAAACTTCTCTTCTCCATGTCCTGTGATCTTGATAGCTATCTTTTCTCCTATCACCGTGTCTATTATTTAATTTTAGACACACTTCATGTGATTCCTGATGTTCTTAAGATCACGTATGGCTAAGCACTTACAGTGAGAATAACAAGAATGTGTGCATAAGCACCCTGGACTAACCTCCCCCAGCACTTATGCACAGTATCATTCACTCACATTTCATCAGCAGCATACAATTGGCCTTTGAAGTGTAGGACTGCTCTCATTAGCCTCACTTTCATTTGTGTGTGTATGTGTGTGTGTGTGTGTGTGTGTGTGTGCGCGCGTGCACGCGCGTGTGCGCGCGTGTTGTGAAAAGATTTATTGTAACTTGGACAATTGGACTTTCTTAATCAGCACCCAATTTGAAAGTGCCTTTCTCCACTGGAAATTGGGATCTAGCCAAATCATGGGTAGCTCAATCAGCTGGGTCTCTGGCTGCACAGTCAGAGGTTGAGAGCTCGATTCCCCATTAGTGCCTCCTGCAAGTAGAGCCAGCCTGGGTGGCCTTGGGCAAGCTGCACACTCCCAAGGCAATTCCAGAAGAAGGGAATGGGAAACCACTTCTGAGTAGTATCTACATGGAAAACCCTGGGAAGTGTTGATTTAAGTCAGAATTGACTTGACAGCACATTAATAATGTTGTTTTTGTTGTTAAACTTTGAAAAGGAAATAAACGAATGCACTGACCTGATACTACACACTTTTCCTGGCATTCTTCGAGAGTCAGAAAGTTGTTCTCATTGCCTTGACATCCACCGAAGTTAAAAATTTCACAATGGCGCGTCAAAATGTTGAAATGATATCGGGTGTGTAAGGCTTTGCATGGGCCGCTGTCTGCCTTCTTGCCGCAGATTGACATGCCTAGTTTCAGGGGGGCTAAAGCAGGACCTGGAGGAGAGTAAGTGAAAGAACTGCATGTAAGAATCCTCTGGCATAATGCATCATCCCAAGAGGAACTGGCCAATGGAATAACAACAAAATAAGCTTCCGCAGGATAGATGGAAACTTAGAAGCAGCATTGACTGATCACATTTAAATTCCTCCTTGCTTCTTGTGACCCCAGAAAGCCTTTTTCTCCTCTGCACTTTTCATTCAAAACACCTTACAAGGTAGCTCAGGCTAAAAGAATGTGACTGGCCATTGTAAACCCGTAGGTTTGACGAATGAGTGGGAATTTGAACTTGCATTCCACCCAAGCCATGTTCAACACTCCAGTTGGCTGGAGTTTCATGGGCTAGAAAAAATGATACAGTCAACACCCACATTTGATGCTCATATCATGAGCTTCCCTCACTCTCAGTTTTACAAATTAGTTTGGTTTGGTATTTTGTGTCGGCACTGGAAAGTAAACCTAACCTCATTCCACGTCTTCATTTCCAATCCCGTCCTTCGAAAGAACTGATTAAACATTTTAAATGTTTAATGTATTTGAACTACTGTTATAGTTTAATTGTTTTTTTAGTGTATAAATTACTGTGTTTTTAATTTTACTTGTTTTAACACTGTGAGCTGCTTGGAGTCCCCTCATGGGGAGAAAGGTGGCCTATTAATTGAGGCAAACAAAACAATAATAATTAGACATTGTAATAACAGGAAAACAGACACTTTCCCTTAATATATGATTTAGCTTTTTGTTAAATGCTTAAATGACACATATGGCATATTGGGCTTGTATGAGCCATGAAGCTGATTTTGCTTTTTGAGTTAGCAGAACTGGAAACTCTGTATAATATCAATGCTTGACTTAAGATTGGGTTTAACAACAAGTCCTGCTCTATGCATGTAGCGCTATGCCTGTTCTGTCTGCAACTGGTCAGTACATCCAGTGGTTATAGCACATTCATTCTTTGGGTTCACTAGTCCGTATTTTCCCATCTTGATCTAATATAAGTGTTGGGACTCGGGATCAGTTCTGAAAACAATAATATAGAAATTTGGAGGGAAAGGGTTTTCCTGTCTTGGCCACCAAGAATATCCTTCAGAAGCACACTGGAAATATGTCATGTTAACACCAAAACTTTTCTTCCACATTTATCAACCATATTTTAGAACAGATTTACTGTACAATGAATATTGTTTTACCAAAAAAACCTTCAAAGGAGGAGAATATTTTGGAGAAATTCTCTAATGAGAAAGCTAATAATAAGACACTTCATAGTTCTTATCTCATCTCATGTGGAGGCTGAGATAGGTGTACAAACATGCCTTTCATTGTATCTCCCCACTATCCAGCAGTCTTCAAAGCATGATGTGCATCAGTTCAAGAGTAATCAAAGAACTCTTCTCATGGGGTCTTTTAAAAAAGGAAAGAAATCAGGATGGAAGCCTGGGCACTAGGGAAGCTGTCTTGTGCTAGAAAACTATATAATAGAAGTAAAGGAAACATGGAGTTCCCTCAGCCTCTTTGTTGCAATATTATAATAATTTAAATAACATCCATCATGTTTAAGAGTAGGGGAGCTAAGGAGTGGGCTACAGATGTTTTAAATAAACAATTAAACGCCGACAAAGGAAATTCTAAATTTCCTAAATTTGACCCTAAATTTGAAGGGTATTTGGCAGAATTTTCTCTATCTTCCAAATATTTCTCCAGCATTTGAAGGAAGTGGTGGTGATGTTTCCCACCCCCACAATACCGCACAAGTAGGTCTGTCTGAACTATTTGAAGCCTGAGATAAAAGAGTACTTCCCCACCCATATCTGAAAAGAAATATAAAAATATGAGACCTGAGTCTGGAGCAAATGAGACACACACGGAGACATACAGATGACATGGATAAGCTACTTAGTGAAAGGCGAGTGTCCAGATACCATTACGGCTGAATAGTTCTTTATATGCACATACAGGCACCTTCTCTGTACTTATCAAAGGGGCTAACATGGTTATCACTAATTTCTTATCTAAGTAAGAGTACACTGTTTCTCCTGGGGAGGTAGGAGACAATAATGTGGATCACTCAGATTTGTTGCCCAAAACAATGCAATGCAGGATCCAGCATTTCTCAGTTTCAAGAGATAACTTTTTAAACATATGCATGTGTGCAAAAAAAAAGCCTAACATTCTAAATATGTACATGTATTTATTTAACAGGATTAGGAATAATTCATCTGAGAATGCACCGGCCTTGAATTCTGATGAACACAAATGTTCTCTAGAGGGCAGTCTCACTACAGCTAATATTGCCCCAACAAGCGGTGAGTAGATTAACTCCCAGGTGTTACAACTTGCGGTTTCCTAATTAGAAGTGGCTAGACTTCAGACGGTGCTTCAACATTTGACCCATGTTCAAAAACCCAAACCAAAGCAAAGGTGTTTGGCCTTGGCCATAAGAAGAGTATAAAGGAAGCTGATGCTCTCGCCTGAGGCACATTCCTCAAGTTTTCCCTTGAAGTTACTGAAGGTCTTCAGGAGGAGCACCTTCTGAAGGGAAGAAAATGTGAAGGATCAGACACAGATACACAAAGGAGGAAAAGGAGGAGAATTATATTGATGTAGGTAGGTAGGTAGGTATACTTTATTACGGTCAAAGACCAGTAAAACCAGAACAGTATAAAATAGATACATACAATTATTGTTTAGGAAAGTCGAGCAGGGTAATAAAATTCCATTAAAACATGATAAAACAAACCCTTATTTCCAATTAATAACATAATATATCCTTGATATAGATAAAACCACAGATAGTGTTGTATTAAAAATATTATATTGTCGATCTAAAATCACCTACCCAACCATCTGTTTACGACCCTAAAGAAGAAGAAGATGATGATTTTTGCCTCACAAGAACAAGTTCTCCAAACCAATGTGATGAAAGCTAAGATTCAATGAATGAGTGCTAATGTCGATTCTGCCAAGAAAGAGATGAAACTATGTTCCACCTCATCTCCAAATGTCCAAAGATTACACAAAGTGATTACAAAATTAGACATGATTGAGTGGCAAAATGAGTGCACTGGTCATTATGCAAAAAATATATAACTTGCCGGTCTCCAAAAGCCGTGGGAATATCAGGTGGAGAAGGTATCAGAAAATGAGGAAGTCAAGATCCTGTGGGATTTCCGGATCCAAATGGATAGACACCTTGACCATAACACACCAGACATAGTAATAATAGAATGAAGAAATGTCTGCATCATTGACATTGGAATTCCAGGGGATGTCAGAGTTGAAAATAAAGAATTAGAAAAACTAAAGGAGTACAGAGACCTGATAATCAAAACATCTCGCCTTTGGAAGAAACACACTTCAGTGGTCCCTGTAGTCACTGAGGCTTTGGCAACAATATCAAGAAACTTCACACAGTACTATAGGCAGTTGCAGATCTCATAAAGCACACCATCAGAGCATCAAAAAAATACCAGTGTTCGGAACAGCATAATACTGTGCCAATATTTAACAGCTGCTTAGATTTTTTTTGCTTAAAACCTGTATCTGTTATATAATACCAGTCAATGTTTTTATAATTTTGATTGACTGTTCATGGTATTTCTGAATCATCATCAACTTAGAACTGCAGAGCTGGAAGGGACCCTATGGATCATTGAGTCAAGCCCATGTCAAGGAGGTGCAACGGGGAACTGAATTCCCAACATTCGGCTCTGCAGCCAGACACCTAAACCACTAAGCAGTTCTTAATTACTATGCACTCAGGAGGAGGGGTGGAGGAGAGGCTCCTCCATTCAAAAATGCTTTTTAAAAAATATCAGGGGAAAAAAGAATGGCTAGACCAAAAGCAAAACCTAATTTGGGCATACTGTTCGTTCCTGTGAATGCTGGTGTGGTGTCTATGTGTAACTAAGTGTTCTGCACAGGACCCAACCTCTGAAACAGCCCAGAGTACTTTACTACAGTTAGCTGCATGGCTTTCTCACAGAAAGCAGCTCGGGTGATTTGTATTGGTGGAGATGGCTTGTTGCACGGAGATGTCATGAAAACCGTTGCATGGATACTGACGAGTTGAAGTAACCAGATACGTCGGTTTCATCAGAGTCAGTTGCTTCACATCCTATTCCCTTTCAGGCATTCACACTGCCTGAAAGTTGAGTCCAAATGTGTCCTGCTACTTATAAAAAATCCTTTCAGATGATGAAGGCAGTTACTGAGACATCCAAAGCAACACTGTTGTGAAAAATATTGCACATTCTGGAGACCTTTCCAAGGCCAACTTGAACAACAACACACCATAGCCTGTGTTCTCAATTGTAGTTTCTTATATTGTGTGATGGATCCTATTTCCCCATAACTTTTCAAAAAACCTCTTAATGTGGCTTGTATTATATTTATGCAAAGCTTACATTGTTTCTATTCTATTCAAATCTACATTTAGGACAGCATCTCCTTTCCCCCTCAAAAATATACACAAAGCCCCCTCTCCCCATAATCAAGAAAAGCAGGCAAACAAATAAAGGCAAAAATACATTGAATTATAGCTTATGCATCCCTGTGATTCAGATAAACAGCTAAAATATTTTTGTGATGAAACTGTATTATGTTATTTACCAGGATTCGCATAGTATTATATCATGCCCTTAGGCTGGAACTGTAGCCAAGCCAAAATCAAACCATATTAAATTTCTTTCTGCAAACATATGAGTCACTGAAAACATGGCTATACAGAGCTACACCCACTATAGAGATTGGCAAGATCTTTCACTGCAGGTTCATTCATATAAATTTTAAATATATATAAAATGTCCACAGATTTGTAAATCTATTGCATCCAACAACAAAGACATATATACAGTATGTACACTTTAGAATCATATGTGTCATATATGGACTGTATCACACATATCATGGAAGCATATGAATCAAATGTAGCTGTCTTTGTGCATTTTTGAATTTTCCCCTTGTTGAATTTTTTTCTTTCTCACAAAATATCACAAACTCAAAAATGTACAGATTTCCAAATGCAAAGTGTTCAGTTCTACCTTTAAATCTGTGAAGTGTGAATTGAGTATGTCTGTTTTTTTAAAAAATCAACAAAAGTACTTTTTCATGCTTTACACAAGCCATCTAATGAAATATAATATAAAGGGAGGCGTGGTCTTACTGTCTATAGCAGACCTGTGGAACAAGACTTCAGCCGCCATCTTGCATCTTCCTGTCTCTCTCTCTCTCCATTTTGTAAATGTGCAATAAACCAAACCATGCCCATGTTATTGTAATTTGCAAATGTTTCTCACATAGCCAGCCCTACCTCTTTGTTCAATGTCATCGTTAAATGTCCATCAATTTGTTAGAAATTGGCTTGAAATAGGTACCACTCAGTGGACTATTCATTGGTTGTCTTGAGTGAAATGCTTCACATGAGAATTCTTCTGTTTCTGCAGATAACTGCAATGCCATGATTAGAAGACTCTTTTCAAATACTTTTCACTGATGAGCATTACCAAGGCAAAATAGCTTGTCACTGCAAGGGAAAATGGGTTTCTTCCTTGTCCCTCACAATAGCTGAATTTTGACAACTCGCTTCCCACTCTTTCACCGACCCGCACACTGCTAGAACCCTTCCCTGTTAGACATGCAGACTGTCCAGACCGCCAGGCTGAACATTCTTCATGGGCTTTCACATTTACAAGAAAGTGCAGTTTCAATGGCTGTGGGTCATTCTTTTTGAGGAGTGTGGCTCAGAGGACAAAGGTTGCTAGTCACACGTGGAGGCAGCCATGTTAGTCTGTTGTTGTGGGAAAGAAACCAAGAAAGGTCTTGTGGCACCTTAAAGACTAAGAAGTTTAATTTCATAATCTGCAGCCCATTTCTTAGTCTTATAATTTCAGGGCCTATAAATTTCCAAAAGATTCCTTGTCAATCTTATCCAGCACATCAGGGTTCTTTTGTACAATGAACAGAATAATGTGTGTGATTATGTGGCATTTGTCTGAGTTCAGCACAGTTTGATGATAATTTCCTATTGTACACCATATCTGCCTCAAATCAGCAATGTTAATTAAAATTACTATAGAGAGAATTAGTGTGGTGTAGTTATTTTAGAGAATTGGACTGGGACTCAGACGTTGGAGGCTCCAATCCCTAATGAGTCATGAAACTCACTAAGTGGCATTGGGTTAGTCATTCCTTGTCAATCTGATCTAACTCACTGGGTGGTCGGGATGACAAAGTGGAGAGGAGAAAAGGCATACGCATGATCTTAAGCTCAGAAACACAGGATATAGATATATCAACTCCAGGAGGCAGTGGAAGACAGGAGGGCCTGGCGTGCTCTGGTCCATGGGGTAACGAAGAGTCGGGCACGACTAAACGACTGAACAACAACAACAAATACGGAACAGACAGCTAACACAAATACAGTATTCCATGCAGCAGCCATACTGCCATGGATAGAATTAAAATTTAAAGGAAAATTTGGTAAGAAAGAAAAGATGAAGCTTCTGTGAATGTGAGGGACCCCCTAGGTAGCAACAGAAAGAATGTTTGTTGAATTCCTAATTTTTAGTTAGACTATCTCCCAAAGTTCATGGGGAGTTTCAAATCCCTGCAAGTTTCTTCACCTCCAGAGTGAAACATAATTTCACTGTCTCTGGTGTTACAGAAGCAAAATACTTGTGTCTGCACACATTTTGCAAACAACTCATCTTGCGACGCAGATTCCTAAATAAAGAACCCTAGTTTGGGGCAATTTACATGATTTTGCACAGAAGTCCCATGACACGTTCTACGCCCAGTGAAAGAGAACGCAGATTGGCTGGTATCTTTTGGAAGATTTTGTTACTGAGGTGATTTCACAGCCTTGCTCATTTAAAAATGCTTCCACCGGCAAAAACTGGAAGCTTTTGTAAAAGCCTAAGTGGTGAGCTAAGGGGAAAGGCCTTGTGACTCTGCCCTGCAGGAAGCAGGGGATCAGAGTTTTTCCCAGCTGCCAACTTGTACCTCTGAAATTTTGGTCTGAGGAAAGAACATGGCCTGGGAGGGGAGACAGAGCCTGGGGGAGAAAACTGCCAGGTCAAGCAGGACCCTCCCAAGGCCTGGTTCCGGTATATGGGCCCATCCTTAGCCTCTGGCTAGTGCAGACACGCTGGACTGAGCTTTAGCAGCATTAGAGTTGAGCCAAAATGTGTCCCATGAGAACCATTTCAACCGTTGTCGGGGAACTGGCTGAAAAAGCAATTCCCTTTGAAAGGAAGTCTTGGAGAAATTCTCATGGGTGACGTTCAGGATGTTTGTGTTTCTGAGGTGTGTGAGAAGGAGGCGGCGGCTTGTGCCTGCATGTCTTGTCTCCCATTCTGAAATCCTTTCTGACCCAGTCTCAGCTTCCCACACTTCTTGAAAGCCCAAGGGGAAAATGGCATGAAGTCACTCCTTTCCACATAGCTTTTTCACATCAGGACGTGTGGGCAACCAAGGGAGCGCCAGAGGCAAGAGAAGATGTGTAAGAGAAACAAACACAGCAGCCAGCAATGTTACAATAAGGTCAAAAAAATACAACCAGAAGCCATTCTAAAAAGCTCTGAGCATGAGGAAGAAGTGGAAGTTCCTTTCAAGGGGAGATAAAACTTTGAGGAAACTGGATAATAAGTTATGGTACGGCATTAGCTTCTCCTTTTTCTTGGACCTGCACAGAATATTGACCTTCCTCAGGCTGGCCACAGGGCTCATAGGGAAGGAGGTGGGTTTAATTGATCTACCATGACCTTTCTGAAATGCAGCATTTGGAAGGTATGGGGAAGAGGCTGGACCCTGAAGAATTGCAACATGTGCTGAGCCAGAATTTTGCTAGAAAACATTATTCTGAGAAATATTCTTGGATCCTCTTTTTATTATTCTCCAGAAACAGAAGGCCATTGGCAGTCTCTCACAGTTTTGGGGGCAGGGCTTACATGGCACCATCACCCCAAGAATCCATAATTACACAACACAGATGGCGTTGTGGAAGAAGCAAATTGGTGGCTGGGGTGCCAACACAATTGTTGTTGCATACATTTTTAGTGTCGCTGGAAAAGACACACATTTTGGGGAGAGGGAAGAATGCTGTGTTACAGCCACTACTCCTAATGGAGAGTCACACCTTAGGGAAGTTGTTGGAGAATTACTGCTTCCTCTGGAGAAATCTGGGGAAATGGTCCCCCTGCACCTCCCCTCCCATGGACGGGATGAATGATTTCCAAAGGACATCTATAAGGAGCATCTGCTGTAATTTTTGTACAAGCGTTACCATTAAAGGTTAGAGTTATGTATATTAGATGGGAGACTGGGTGGCTTGAGGAATGCTTTCCTCTAGTACAACTGAAACCCTTTCATTTCTTTGGAAGCAGATGCCAAATTATTAGCATAAGCAGTTTTTAGCACTTTGCCTGTGCTTCTGGATATTCTGGCAAAGATGCTTTGGTTTTGGTGAAGAAGAAGCAGGTGGGGCCATTGTCTGTTCTTTGCCTGTTTTGACCCCCATCTTTTCACTGAAGAAGAAAAGTGTACAACGTTGTTGCTCACACAGACACAGACAGAGAAAAGAGTAAGAACATTTTGAAGTGTGATGAATTCCAGTGCAAACTGTTCTACTCTGCATCTCCCAGAGGAATGTTCAGGTCAATTGGTAATTATTCTTCAGATTTCACACATTTTTGAAATCTATCTAGTTGGTCTTTGCTTCAGAACTATACAAAAACGTATTTAAATTGCCTACTTCAAGGTAAAATATGTTTTGTGGAACTAGAAAAAAATGTGCAACCCTCCCCCCTCACTCCCTCCGATTTCTGTGGTAGCAGGACAAACTGGACATATGCACCCCATGGACATAAACTTGAAATCCATTGAGCCATCTATTCTTTGAAAACCATACAAAATGGACTGATTTGGAAATGGGCTTGAAGTAGCATTTTCTGCTGTTCAAAGACATTTCTCCCAAAAATTTTTCAGTTTATGACTACATCAAATCTCTTACCCACAACATCTCCGTATTCATATTCATCCTCAGAAGCTTCCGTTGTTTCACAAGCCACAAAACTGAACGTAAGTTGTGTGATGGCAGCCAGGAGAACACCCATTCTCACTTTACGCAACATTCCTATGGAATATAAAAGAAAACACAAGGCATTTGTATAGGGTGCATTTAAAACTGAAATGTGGGTTTAATGATCTGTTTTTTAATTGTGTTGAGTAAGACATTGACTCTGTGTAGCCTTGATCAGTGTATCTCTCTCAGTGGTCCAGGGTGCCACTGATAGAACACAGAAATTGTTTTGGTGGGACACAAAATGTTCATAACAATTACAATTCAGTCTCCTTCAATCCTCAACTGCTTATATCACATACCATTAACTTTTAACCCTACCTATCATGGATTATACATCTGTGATCTTTTGGCATGCTAGAAGTAGTAACTTTGGAAATTCAGTGTTTCTTCTAATCCATTAAGATTTAGAGAGAGAGAGAGAGAGAGAGAGAGAGAGACCAATCTGAAGAATTCAAAGTTCTCAAAAATGCAAGGCCTAGCACACCATTTTAGGTTTCTACATTTTCCCACACACAATCTCTGGTGAGAAATCCATAGCAAACCTTAGATACAGTATATGACTAATACTTCTTTGAAATATAACAGTGAGAAAAACGTGAGAGATCTGCCAAAGAAGGGCCATCTCCTTCAAACAAACCGTAAAACAAAATCCAACACTGTTTGCCTTGCATGACAACAACAATCAATTTACTGAAGGAGTTTTAGTTCAGAATATTTTGCTTGGCCAGTTGAAGACCAGTGCCAGACTTCTGCACAAACTAGAGGAGTCACACTTTAGGACCTCAGACTATGAGGAGCTTCTAAACAGCAACAGTTAGATTAATACTGTGCTTGGGAAAACATTTATGGAGACTCATAAACTTGATATAGGTTCAGGTTCAGCGCTTCTTAATCTGGGTCTGATTAAGAAGGTCTTGAAATTATTTTAAACATACTGTATCAAGCAGCTGAATACTTTGCTGCAAAAGGTTTTAAGTATCACAAAAATACAAATACTATTGTGGGAATACACCATACACAGAGAACACTATGACACAGTTTCCTGAATTGGCTGGCACATTTTTAGACTTCCTGGCAGAGGCAACAATTCAGTCACAAAGAACATTTCCCACAGCAAGGCTCAGAGCCATAACTATTTTGGCACACATGGCAAGCATCACAAACGGTGTGCCCCGATTACAATTCATGATGTGAAAACAATACAAAAGCTAATTGTAACATTGCCAGCATCTCTTCTCTTCCACAAAAAATATTGTTTAGCATACAATATATATTACAGTAACAAAACTGAGATTCTATATATCCAGGTCCAAAGCCAGCTTGTTATATCCTAGTCCCAGGTAGATCCTTCAATAGGGAGGGCTGGTCTACCAACATTCCAGGTAGACCAGTTGTCCAGCTAGATGGTTCCTCTTAATTCCATGGCAGAACCCTGTTTTTCCAAGTTCTGGGTGGATCTGCCCTCTACTGTCTCAGGGGCTGATTTCTTCCACTCTGGCATGAGGTCTACTATCTTTTCCTATGGCCAGGGCCACTGAGCCAATACCAGTCATGGGGGAAGGTGCATGCCCTTAACATTTGGCACTCTGGGGCAGGTTGCCTCACTCTAGTTACAGCTCTGGTGAGATTCATGCATTGCACTGTGATTGTACTGATCCTTGAATTTCCCAAAATGTGTGAAATGTGACTGCACTAATGATGTTACCTTGAAATATCTCCCCAAATAGATCTATTGAGAAGAATTAATGCAACACCAGTAATTGTCAGTCTGTTTGATGTAGCAGTTTCCAGCATTGTCTTGCATCTGATAAATCCCATGGCACTTATTACTCTAGTCTTGTTTCTAAAATTACTTTCCAATGTACTTCTGGTTTGTTTGTTGCATCCGCCACTTGCACCATTTCCAGCATTCTCCTTGAACTCTATAAATAGCGAGCCCCAAACAGGAATTATGCCAAGACCTTGGAATGGCACACTTTACACTTCCCCATTTGTTGTTAGAGGAAGAATTTTAAAAAATGTACAAAGAGTTCTTTTGTTCTCCTCCTTTCCTGGTATTGTTGTCGATCACACTGTTTTAGGGGAGGCACAGCAAACCGCTGCTATCAGCAGATACTTGAATCATCTGATTCATCTACAGAAATCTCTAGCCAACCTGGTTTCCATACAGAGAAATTTACAACTAAAATTAGATGCAGGCACCAAAGATTGCCAGGCGATGGGTGTGTAAAGGCTGGGTCAGAGCTGAAATGAAAGTTTAGCCTAGTTTGCTGGTCTTTTTTGGGGGGGGGGTTCTTTTGCCAAGAGCATACATTTCTTTGGGAACCCTTCCAAACTGTGAGTAAAAGCCTTGGTCAATGTCCAGGCCTGAGTCAGCCAAAGAAAGAAAGAAAAGAACCCATTGAATCTCTTTCAAAGATGTGGGGAAAATACATCTTTGAAGTGAACCCATTCACCTCCAACAGTAGCCCTCTTCTTGAACTTTGTGAGAAAGGAAGGACAGATCTGTCAGTTTCACTTTTTTCCTCCTTTGAATTTAATTTTTTAAAATAAATTCTATGAAAAAAAAACTAGGCACAATTCCCACTCATTCCTAATGTAAATCTTGAACTGCTTTGTCAGTATTGAGTAGAAGAATACATAGTAACACAGACACAGAAACCCACACATTCTCCTTGCCACAAAATGATGGGTTTTCCTGTTGTTGTTTTCAAATATTTTTTCCATATTTTCTAAACATGTTTTGGGGGGAAATCTGTAAAATGGGCATTCTCAGAAAATGTGATAAGTTGCTCCCAGGGTGAAGTAGTGAAGAAGGGAAGAAGTTGGTAGGACTTTTGTCTTCATAATGAAAGACCAATACATTCCCAAGGTTGATGGCACTGCATAGCACCTCCAATCCCAGGCCATAGTATTTTTTTAAAGCTGTTTCTTTCTTTCTTTAATACTGACCCAGAAGCATACAAACACCTGCATGGATCTGAGAACAAATCAGTCCAGGCTTTTTCCAAACCAGCTCAAGGAGGAGCTGTCCAAATTGGCACAAGAAATATTTGGATACAAAATCAGATCAGATGGTAGCTCGCATGCCCCTGTCTCAGAATGATGCACAAGGGTGGAAAACTGTAGTCCAAAACTGCCTTTAAAAATGTCAATATGTTATTCTCCTATTTCTATCTTTTGCTGATTTTCACACACTTACTATCTCACTGCAGGCTGTATAATTTGCATAGCACACAAAGTTGGGTTAGTCATTGTGTCATTGTCTTTCTTGACCAGATGTCTAGACCACATTGCTGAACAGTTTGACACCACCAGTCATGCTGAACTAGTTCAATGTAAGATTGCTTTCTATTCTAGGAAAACAGGACATTGCTCATGGGCGTTTGCTTAGTCAGCTGTAATGGCAAAAATAAACATTTTGGAAACAACTATTCTTGCAAATTTAATTAGGAATAGGATTAACACCCACCAGCCATTAAGTGTAATATTTTGTTGTTAATTATGGCTTAATATTCAATCATATATTACACATAACGCTTACTAGATAAACTCCTTAGGAGATTTTGGACTAGAGTTACTGGAAAGTTTGCAAATATCTTTTTGAGCCATGCAGCTTAAAAAGAAAAGAAAACAGCAATAAACGATGAAAGGACATTTGCAAGCAACAAAAACTGTGACCATTTTGCATAATATTGATGCAACAGATCCAGTAATAATTATGTGGAGCTGGATTCATGGAAAATGCCTCTGATTTTTTTAAAAAAGGAAAACATTTATTCATGATAAAGTTGCACGACATATTTGTTCTCTTAAACTTCATGCTGGGAAAGAAAGGAGAGGGAGGAGAGGGAGAGATGAAATTTCTGAGAACTAATTTCTCATCCCACACCTACTCTGCTGCACAAGCCGATACTGAAATGTCTTTTGTCGTTTTCACCTACTTTCCCAATAATGATTCCTCAACTGTTGCAGCTATAGGGAGGAAAATGAGCAGAGAGGGGAGGAGCCCAGAGGCTGATAACCTTCAGGGTTCCTCTTATCTTACTTGTTCAAATGAAACTCTTTGTCACTTGAATTCCCAAAACACAGTTTTGAAAATAATAAACTTCAGCAAATTCATGAGATGACTCTGTGCACATAAGTCTCTCTCTAGATAGATAGATAGATAGATAGATAGATAGATAGATAGATAGATAGATAGATAGATAGATAGATAGATAGATAGATTTCTCTTTCTGTTTTGTTTAACATATATGCAAATGATTAACTACTTCCCCAAGACACCAAAAGTTTAATTCATGTTAATGATTTCACACTTGCATCTCAATCTGGTGGTTTCCCCTCAAGATGCTCTACTCTTGAGGAAGCCACAGGAGAATCTTTCTCTGTAGTGGGGACTTCCTGTGGTGTACTGTATGACTGGGAGAGATTATAACATCCTTCTCCTCCATCTCGAGCACAGGGCCACCCACTTCGGAACGTTACCTGGACCCGAGGGTCCAGGGTCAGCAGGATCAGGCAGCTTGTCCCCCATATGAGGTTTAGGGACTTTCAGCTGATCTGAATCTAATAATTTTAGAACTGCAGAGCTGGAAGGAACCCTATGAATCATCAAGTCTAGCCTCTCTCAGGGGGCCCAGTGCAAACCTGAACTCCCAACCAATGGCTCTGCAGCCAGGGACTTAAGTCCCTGAGCTATCCAGTAGCTCATTGGAGGCATGACCTCTTCTTATGTGTATACCTTCATCACTTGCCCTCTCTTCCCTATACACTTTCAGCTTCAGGGCCTGAAGAGGGCTATGTCCATCTCCTAACTGCAGGGAGCTGTGTTAGCAGTCAGCAAAACATGCTTAGAGACACCATTCCAGCTTTAAAATTCTATGTACAAAAGTCTAAAGAGGCACATGCTAACATAAATCTTTGTTCCACCTCACAAAACTACAGTATTAAACTTGATGTGAACATGTGAGAATCCCAGGCACACCTCCTTTCAAATAAAAGACTCAGAAAATGTAATGCAAAGAAGGGAATTATCCTTACTGTATTAC